TTTTTTTTGGAAGGGCTCAGCCCCAAACTCTTGCTGCCAGATCTCTGGGGCCAGCTTGTGCGTTGGAAGGTGTCAGCCCCAAACTCGTGCTGCCGGATCTCTGGGGTCAGTTTTTTTGGAAGGGTTCAGCCCCAAACTCTTGCTGCCAGATCTTTCGGTCCATTTTTTGGGGGAGGTGTCAGCGCCAAACTCTTGCAGCCCCAAGCTCCTGCTGCCAGATCTCTGGGGACAGCTTGTGCTTTGGAAGGTGTCAGCCCCAAACTCTTGCTGCCGCATCTCTGGGGTCGTTTTTTTTGGAAGGTGTCAGCCCCAAACTCTTGCTGCCAGATCGTTGCGGCTGTTGTTGTTTAACCTAAAAATGGGCCCCGAGGTCTGGCAGCAAGAGGTTTGGCGCTGACGCATTAAAACTTTTTTTCGGAAATGCTTCAAATGTATTGCTAATGGACACATGTGTCCGCAGTAGTTTGGCAGTAGTTTGGAAGTAACTACTGCGAAAACTACTGCGCTGGAGCTAATGCCGCAGTAGTTTGGCAGTAGTTTGGAAGTAACTACTGCGAAACTACTGCGCTGGAGATAATTTCACAGTAGTTTGGTAGTAGTTTGGTAGTAATTACTGCGAAACTACTGCACTTTGGCAAACAAAGTTTGGAGAAATTTAGCCGCACTTTGGCAGTACTGACTTCTAAACTACTGCGGCAATTCGGAAACCAGCAGTTGCAAATGCTGATGGGCCAGGAAAACAAAGAGGCCAGCAGCTGCCACGGAAGCTACTGATGACTCAAAATTTGCTGCGTTTGGGGCTGACCCCTTCCAAAAAACACAGCTGACACCAATCATCCTGCAGCACTTGGGGCTGCACCTTCCAAAAAGGCAAGCTGGCCCCAGAGATCCTGCAGCAAGAGTTTGGGGCTGACACCTTCCAAAGCACAAGCTGGCCCCAGAGACCCTGCAGCAAGAGTTTGGGGCTGACACCTTCCAAAAAACAAACTGGCCCCACAGATCCTGCAGCAAGAGTTTGGGGCTGACACCTTTCAAAAACAAACTGGCCCCAGAGACACCCAAAAAGCAAACTGGCCCCAGAGATCCGGCAGCAGGAGTTTGTGGCTGACACCTTCCAAAAAACAAACTGGCCCCAGAGATCCGGCAGCAAGAGTTTGGGGCTGACACCTTCCTGGCCCCAGAGATCCTGCAGCAAGAGTTTGGGGCTGACACCTTCCAAAAAACAAACTGGCCCCAGAGATCTGGCAGCCAGAGTTTGGGGCCGACACCTTCCAAAACAATTGGACCCAGAGCTGCGGCAACAAGAGTTCGAGGCTGACACCCTGGTAAAACAAAATCTGCCCCAAAGATCTGGCGCCAAGAAATTGGGGCTGACGCCTGCCAGTAAAAGCAGCCTGTAATAGGGGACACGTACGCGCACACAAAATCGGAAGCATGTGCATACACACACATTGGTCGTTTGTTTCACAACCTAGCATAAATATGGATATTCAGCACCTATCACATCTACACAACCGTGGTCCCAACATATTCCGGCAATTATGCCCATTGGCAAGCCCAAGCTGCGCCCCAATACCCATGTTCAAAGGGAATACTTACCCCCCCCCCGCATGACGCGAGGTCGTATTTGCCGGAATTATTTGCGCGCGTCAGCTCATAGGATGGGACTATTTTGGAGATGGCGAAACCCGCGCTGGAACGCAGTGACAGCTTGCAGTTAAGTAGGCAAAGTAGAGCTCGAAGCGTGAGCGAGGGCAAGGCGCTCCGTTTGCTTTTGCGTATGCATTTGCGTTTCATCCCTTGCGTTTGCTGGTCATGCCCCTTGCGTTTGCTGGTCATGCATTTCCCCATGACCGCATGCCTGCGGCTATAGTTGCTCTGGAGCCTTTGGGCTTTTTACTTTTGCCACTTAGCAAGTTTTCGCGCCCCGCCATGGAGCCGGTCACCACGCCGCGCAAGCAACCGCCCAGCAGCCCTTCAGCCCCGCGCAAGTTGCCGGGTCAGTCACCAGGTCCGCAGAGCTCTGCGCTCTCGCCAACGGCGCTGAAGCGCCCAGCAGCTGCAAGCCCGGTGAAGAAGCGGCCCGCGGCGGCCGCGCCCAAGACGGCCGCCAAAAGCAAAGCTTCTGCCAAGCCGAAGCCTAAGCCGAAGCCCGAGCCGAAGACCGAGTCTGGCGTCAAGAAGAAGGCCAGGCGAAGGCGAAGGGCAAGGTCAGCGTGTGGGCGCAAGCCGTGGAAGAGGACCAAGAGACAGAGCAGCCCGACGCCTTGGCAGTGGTCGACGAGCCTGCTGGCCGCGACAAAAACAAAAGCCAGTGGCTAAAGCGCAACCGGGACTCGTTGCCAGCCGACCTCAAGGCCTTGCTGGACTCTGCCAAGAGGACCGACCTCACAGAGCTGGTCAACAGGCTTGTGGTGAAAGACGCCCGTGGTCAGTTTCAGCTGGCCGCCAACGACCCCGTCGTCGCCCAGAAGCGCCGCCTCTACAAGGAAGCCAAAACCACCAACGAGGCGAAGTCTGTGCCGCGGTTCATCGCGGAACGGCTCGGACAAGCTGAAAGCTGCCGTGCAGCGCGGCGAAGCTCGCTGCGTCAAGATGGACGGCGTGGACTACTACACGTGGCGCGAGGCCTCCGTCGCCCACACCACCGGCCAGTCCGACTCCATGGACGCCACGGCTGAAGTCGCGTCCGGCTCGCAGGACTTGATGCTATGTTGCCTGCGTCTGCACAGTTCGCTTATTGCTTTTGTCTTGCGTTTGCTTTTGTTCGGGCGTCCTTGCTTGTGCCGTGTCGGCCGCTAGCTTTGAAGGAAGCCTTGCTGGTCGCTTTTGCGTTTGCCTTCATTGCGTTTGCTTTTGTCCCGGCATCCCTGCCTGCACCTTGTCGGCTGCTAAGTTTGCAGGACGCCAGCGGACTCTTCGCGCTCTTGGCCGAGTCCTTGCCGATGGGGCCGCCCGAAGCTGAAGGCGGCGGCTCGGCTGACGCGCCTGCGGACCTCATGGCCAGCACTCGCCCTCGCGTGGAGGAGGGCTTGCAAGTCACCCAAAAGATCTTCGGCGGGTCAGAAGGCGCTGCAGGCATTGAGCGGCATGCCGCAGTCGCCCATGGTTGCCACGTGCCGGGAACAGCTGGAGGCAGCAATGCAGGCAGTGCTCCAGTGCCTGCAGTCTTTGCAAGAGCTCAACACGTTTGGCCGCATTGGCGGCGAAGCCGCTGGTCCCGAGTCCTGCAAGACCTTGCTGAGGTCCTGCGCCGCCAAGGTGCTCCACTTGCAGCAAGCTTGCCAGATGTGCAAAGCGCTCAAGCCTGTCGACTGATGTCCCCGCTTGCCGCGCGAACTGCGGCGTGACGCCCGATCATCTTGTCAAAAGGGAAGGGCGCGCAGTCATTGCTTGTGATTTTGCGCTTGCTTCTTTTGGATTGCTTTTGCATCTGTTGAAGATGCGGCGAACATGGGCAGCTGTGTGCGTGTTGGGCGCCACGCCTTGGTGCTGAGTACTGCCAAACTGCTGGCTGCAGCCATGGCCACAAGGCAAGGGTGTAGAAAGCGGCTGAGAGCCGCCCAAGCAGCCGATGGCCACGCCTGCGAAAGCAGCCTTGCGCGGCTGCTGCTTGAAAGCTGGGGCTTCATGTCCGCTCCGCAGCTGCAAGCCATAGCTGCGGCTGCAGAAGAAGACTTTGAGCGCGCTGGAGCCAACTGTTTTAGCGACGTCCAACGTCTCGCAGCCGGGCTATTTTAGTTTTGCAGTATCAGTTCTTTCTTCCGGGCCTTGAGTTGAAAGGTGGCCAGCCTGCGCTCGCCTCAGGCTGCCCTAGGGTTCTCCGGCAAGTACCCCGCCAACACGCACAGAGATCTCAAGCGGCGGTTGCCGCAGCCAGTGCTGGCGCCTGGTTTGTACCGCACGCCGTGTCGCGCAGCGTCTACAACCCTGCAAGGGGCCTTTCAGTATGCGACCCTGCATATGCTGTGCCCCAGCAAAGGTAGTTGTTCAAAGCCGTTTACGCAGCTGCGAGCTGTCTTGCAAACATGCGCGCTTCTGAGGTGGCCACATGAACTCTTCAGCGCAGTCTACAAGCAATTCCCCAAGGAGTGGATCGCCCGCATCCGCGGCGTAGCTGACCTCGGCGATTTCTGGCGACGAGTTGCCGGCGCGCCGCAAATGGCTGGCCACCCTCTGCTACGCGACCAACACTGCACGCTGGACGAAACCATCCCGTTCAGCTTGCATGGGGATGGCGTTCCGATTGTTGGCGCAGGAAAGAGCTACCAGCAGTCTGCTGACATCTACTCCTTCTGCAGCCTTGTGGCCCAGGGATCCACCAAGGAAACCAAATTCATTGTGGCCATGCTCTTCGCCCGATCGCAGGCCAGCGGCGGGCACACAACACGCGCCTTCTGGCGCAAACTGACGTGGCCCCTCACAGCTCTCTTCAACGGCGCCGGCCGCTAAGTTGTCGCCCATGTCTGTCGCGCTGAGCCGGCGCCAGCCGTAGCTTTTTTTTGCCTTTGCCTTTGCTGTTTGCGTTTGCAGCTGCGCGACTCGCTGGCACTGCGCTGCATTCTGTGTTGCAGCTGACTGAGGTCTGGCCTGATGTTGATGACAGAGGGCGTCCTCACGAAGCTGGCACCACCGCAGCGCGCCTCGCAGGCAGCCCGCTGGCAGACGGCTACCGCGGCGTGGTATTCCTGCTGCGCGGCGACCTTGACTACTTATCCAAATCCTTGGAATCCTGGAAGACGTAACAGCCCTTAAAAAGTGCAAACTTCCCAAACAGGCCTTAAAATTCATTGGGTTTTCCACTTTAAGGACCGTTTAGATTTGTTTAAGGCCTGTTTGGGTTTTTAAGGCCTGTTTGGAATACTGGTTTTTTGTACTTTTTCTAGTAGAGCGCACGAGTCACTATTTAGCCTATCCTACCTACATTTGGCATTTTGCACTCCAGCTAGTCAACGCGCAGAATAGAAAGAAAAAAGTATACGCCGCAGATAAGCCCGTTTTTACACACAGCTGGCCAAGTGCTTGCTCAGCTCCTGCTTCACTAGAAGCATGTGCCGCTGAAGCAAGTTCTCGCAACAGGTCCTAGGCGACATCCTACGAAGCATGCGAAGATTGGTTTTCACCCAATCCTCGTCCAGCCAGCAACTATCCCAGCCAGGATTGCGATGGCTAGGTCTGCCTGCAGCATCAGAAATGATGTGCTGCAGGATATGAAACTTGGGACGCAGCTTAAAGTAGTAGTCCCTACGAGAAGAAGCTAAGTGGGCCAGCTGCAAGTACGAGGACAAGAATGCATTCCCACAAAGCGAGATTTTCTCGACTTCCGCAGGGTTAAGGAAGCAGCTGCCACGAGTGACGGCTTCTTGAAGCATATTGGCGCTGTACAGGCACGCAGACAAGCCCTCGTACGGCGGAGGGGCTGCCTTCAAGCTTAGCTTGTAGGCTAAAAACCGTACCATAACAGCGGCATCCGAAGCCGAGCTTTTGTACTCTGGGCAGACATCTGCGCCAGCCCAGCCAAGGCGAGACGGCTTAATCTGCTGAAGGTGCATCTGCAAGCCGCGCTGCTTCTTGAAAAGGTTGATGTCGCGCTGAAGTTGTTTGAACCTCTGCGACAAATTCGGGCCAGGCCAAAACTGCGTTTTCAGGCATATCTTGAGACATGATCCTATCAAGTCACGAGCCACACCTAAATTCCAGGTGTGCATGAAGTCTGCGCTGACCATGCGTAGAGTGAAGTTGGGCATCTCGCTGAGCGGCGGAAGCTCAAAGTACGGAGGTGCAGCAGGCCCCTCACGCCAGCCCGCTTGCGGGGAAATGTCAGTGTAGACCGTGCTGATGTCCTTGCGGCCCATAGAAGCGGTGCAGCGAAAGCACACCTGGAGCCAGCAAATATCAAAACGTTTGCTTCACAGCCTGCATGTCGCATATCTCGCTAGGTGGTAAACTATAGCAAGCTAGGCCTATTTTTTAGACATACAAACCTACTGCAAGCCAAGCACCTCCTCGCAGCCTGGAAACCGCGAAAAGTTCATGGCTTGCGCCAAGTACTTCAGGTCCCCCTTCACCGCAACCACGTGCAGAGTGAAAACCTAGCAGCAAAAAAACAAAGCCAAAACTCAAGTTCAAAACCATATGCAGGTTAACTGAGCCAGGGCGCTTCATTCTCTACCTGCAGGCCTTGGGCCAAAGCAACGAAGTCTTGCTGCACAGCACGCAGAAGAGCTTGCAAGGTCTGGTTCACCTTTTGGTGGATCATGTAGGCGTTGGTCGGGCAAGCGAACACTATGTTGCGCGAAGCCTTGGAGTTGTGCCGGAGCAAGCTGACATCGACCATCCTTGGCAAGCATAGATGACATCACCCGCGCATGACTCAGAAACATTTTTCTATATTTGACCGGGACTCCAGCTGCACAGCATCCACGAGTGCCTGTTGCTGGTGCCCTCGTCGCCCCACAAGACTATGGGGATCGCCCGCTCAAGGTTCTCCTCAGGCTGGTCGCAAAGCTCGTGGCGAGGATAGTCCAGCAGCATGTGCTGCCAATAGAGCCGGAGGTGGGACCGGTCAACTATGACCTGCTGCAGCAGTTTGGAGGTTAGCAGGGCGCTGGCCACAGCTGACGGCAGGAGCACGAAGAGCTGCGAGATATCAACCTCATCCTCTTCTGTGCATATGGGGCAGTCCACCCACACAGGGCGCACATTGCGTGCAAAGCCTGCCCCGGCAACGCGGCGGTGGAACTCGCCTTCCCGCAGCGAGCGCGAGTTGTAGCCAGACAACACCGGCGAGCTGTATATGTCGCCTCAATTGATTGTCAGCACAGGCACGCAATATAGCACACTACAATATTTGCAAGCTAAGCTAGCTAGCACAATCTACTCACCTACTAGCTCACCTAGTATAGCACCTATCCTACAGCGGCAAATTAAACGCCATGTGGCCCAGCTCGGAGGTGACCGTGATCGTGGCATCTCCCGCAGTGGCAGCACCTGCCAGCCTGACCGCCCGCAAATAAGAATGATGTGAGACCAGTGCTGCACGCACAGGCCTCAAGTCCAACTTGCCCTTCATTGAACTCAAGGACCCCGGGCCATATGTACCTGCAGGAAAGCAACATCAGGCAAATTTGATCGAAAGAAAGTCAAAAAGGACACAGCACGCGTTGAACTCACAACACACTTTTCCACTCGCCGCCAGCCCCGCATATATAGGTCGCCTATAAATGACTTCCTAGCTCGCGCTATCTTTGAAATGCGTTGATACCTAAAGCTAGCTTGTGCCTAAAGATCTGAAAACAGCACACTGCGTGGTTCTATCGGTTTTATATCGCTTGAGGCACAGCCAGGCTAGCTAGCCACTTAGGCGAAACTCCAAAAGTCCTAGCTATGTAGGAGCCTACCAGGGCCTACCCTACCGCTTCTTGAGCTCCGCAAGAAGGCCCTTGCTCTGCCCCTTGATGAGGCGCAGCTTGTCAACCTGAGCCGCGCAAGTATATGAATGTCAAACACACTCGGCAGAAAATCGGCCAAGTTACGGCCACAGCGATGTCGGCGCAGATCGGGGTGAGCTCCTCGAAAGTGGCGAGGCCAGAGAGCCTCAGCGCAACAATTAGACTCGCATCCAGTGAAGCACAAAAAGCCGCCGGGCAGCTGGGCGTTCAGCGCAGTCAGCTGGCCCTGGCTGTCCCGAAGCGCCCCCGCAAGCTCTTCAGCGCACTGCGGCATGTCCATGAGGATGCCAGCCACGTCCTTCAGCTCCTTCTTCACTTCGGCGCCTGAAGTACGGCGGCGCAACAAAAGATCGACGGTGCGTATGAGGCCGGAGCTGTAGCGAGCTGCCTTCTCCTTGGGCGTGTTGAAGGTCATCTCAGAGAGCGCCTTCTTCTCGGCGCGGTTGACCTTAGAGCCAGACGTCGAGCCCCTTGCCGACAACGCCGCAGCCTTGGGCTGCGCAGCCGGAGGTCCTGCAGGGATTTTGGTTGGCTACAAGCCTATCTAGCTACACATAGCTAGCTAGGTGCCTATCCTCTATAGCGACTTATTTTGGCTATGCCTATACCTAGTAGGAGATCGATGCAGCGCCTGCCGCCTGCTGCTCGTTGTAAGCGTCGTGGGCGCGCAGGATGTCACCAGACAAGCCAGCCGCAGCCGGCTTTGGGGCACCAGCTCTCAGCATGCACGGGTCCAAGTTGAGGGGATCCAGGATCGTTTCCATGGCCGCCTTCGTGGGCCGGGCGTTGACCCGCATGGTCTGCAAGGTCCTGATCAACATCAACAAGGATTTTGTCATTTAAGCGTATTTTGTGCTGCTGAGCAGCTCCATGCTGGTGGTGTCGGTGCGGGACTGGCTGGCCAGCACCCAGTACCTGGTCTCTTCGAGCACGCCAGGAGCATCCTCATCCTCAATGCCCTGACCTTTGGCAATGATGGCGTCCACCTTGCGCCTTAGATGTTTCTAGATAGGTCTCACCATATATAGGTAGGCCTAGTTCTCACTAGCTATATAGGTGTAGGCCTATCCTAGTAGAATAGAAATAGGTTGTAGCTAGAGCTAACAGAACCAAGCGGCTGGCTGAAGTTCCAGGGCGGCTTCATCATGTCCTTCACAGGAACCAGCTGGTACTGCTTCTCCGCCTGCAGCTTGCACTTCTTCGAGGCCTCGATCGCGACCTCAGCGGCCTGCAGGTTCTCGCCTGTGCTCACCCAATGGGTCAGCAGCTGTCGCCGATCCTTGGTGTGTTTAGCGCTTGTTTGCTACCTTTTTCTGTTTTCAGTTGAGGCACCTTCAAGGTTCCACAGGCCAGCGCGTGCATGTTGGGGAAGTCGGCGAGCTTGCCAGTGTTGTACATGCGCATCTGAGCGCACACAGCACGCGCAACACATTTTGGATATTCACACATGTGCGTGCGAACTAAATTCCAGCACTAGCAGTGCATGCGCATATATAACACACCCACACACACATGCACACGCAAACACGCACACACAAAAGCACACACACACACACCACACACACACACACACACGCGCACACACACACACACAGGCGCACACACACACACACATGCACATGCAAACATGCACACAGCAGGAAGCAACAATAACTCCTAGGCTTAGCCTACACATCCTACACTAGCTATAGAGTAGGAGAATAGGAGCTCTACCCTATATAGATTCTACTATGTGTTTGGTTGCAGCCTAGCTGCAAGCCGGGCGTGCTCCTTCCGGTGCGTGGCCGTGGTCACCGCAGCAGCCGGCCCAGCAGTGGCCGCGCCCGAGCTGGAGCTGGGCGCCGCAAACTGCGGCTGGGCCGGCGGCGCAACAGCAGTAGCACGTGCAGAGCTGGTCGAAGGCGCCTTGCGCTCCGGCTGTGGCGGGGCTTGTTGCGCCCACACAGGGATCTGGCCAGGAGCGTCCTCGTCCTGCTTGGCCGGGGCCTCCACCAGCTGCAGCTCCAGCGCTGCCTCCAGCTCCTCGTCCAAGCCAGCTGGCGAGCTGGCCTCGGACAGGGCCTGCTCGTCTTCCAGGTCGGCAAGGTCGGTCAAGTCCACTGCTGCTGCAGCGGGCTGTTTCGCCTTCAAGAAAGCCTCCTCCAGCTTCGGTTGCTTGTTGGCCTGCGTTTTTTTCTGATTTTAGAGCGGCAGCGATCCAAAAAGTTTCACACCCGCACCTGCAAATTGCCCTCAGGGGCCAAGCGTTTCAGCGGCTTGTTCGGCACCAGCTTGGGCAGGTCCAAGTCATCCACTTGCTTTGAGGCAGCTGGCTGGCTTGAACAGGCAAGGCCCTGCAAGGCTCGGATGATTTCATCCAGTTGCCCCTGGCCAGCTTCAGAGACACTGGGGCCCACCGTCAGCCTTGGATGGAGCAAACCATTTGTGCAACCGCCGCGTGCGCGAAACACACAAGATTGCCTGCAGCCAGTAGCTGGTCAAGGTTCTCTTGCGACTTCTTGCGCTGCAGGTTTGCCGCTGGAGTCTGCGCTTGCAATGCGCGAAGCTGGTCCACCGCCATCTGCAAAGTGCCACAAGACCTGAATTCGGAGAAAAACAAAAGGCGCCTAGAGTCCCTGTTAGGCTATGAGCACGCCTACCCTACATAGCCTATGTAGGTCCTACCTACCTACCTACCCTACAGGCGCCTATACGCTGCCAAGCCTAGGAAATTTGAGAAGCTAAGTGGCCAAAGGCTGTCGTGCTGGGACTCGTTGTCCGGCTGCGTTTCCAGGACTGGTTGAGGCGGCGTGGCTGGCACAGTGTCCGCGAGCAGGTCCGGTTCACGAGGCTGAGCGTCTGTGAGCTCCTCAGCAGGGGGAACAGCAGCGGCTTGAGAAGGTGGGGCTGCAGCTTGAGCAGGTGGAGCTGCAGCTGCAGGGGCAGCTTTTGTCTTAGCTTTGGCTTTGGTCTTGGCAGCAGGTTTGTCCACTGCAGCTGCCTTGCGCTTGGTGCTGCTCTGCCCTGAAGGCTCCAGGTCCTTGCTTTTTGCTTTGCCCTTGGCTTTTGCTTTCGGCTTCGCTGCGGCGGCATCCTTCTCTGCCTCCATGTGGGCCGCGATCTTCAAGATCTCCACAGCGTCCTCCCTGCTGAGGCTTTCGCCTTGCATGAGAGCCTGAATTTCCGCCTCGTCGAACTGGCCGAACTGCAGGTCCGCCATGGCGCCGAGCTTGCCCTAACCTACCAAGCAGTCCTACCTAGCTAGACCTAGCCAAAAATCACAGCACAACATGCGTTTTCACAAGCAATCACGAAAAATCACGCGTTTTCACGCGTTTTCAAAATTCACGAAAATTCACGTTTTTACACACCTTTTGGGCCGAAATAACGGCTGTTTGCACACTTTTCACGCGCCAGTGCGGCCAGTCGGCGGCCTAAGGTCAGTGCAGCCTAGTTCCCCCTAACAAGCTACAAGCCCTAAGCCTACCCGAATTAGCCTACAAAGGCCATCAGCCAGCTGGAAGGCCGAAGTTCCTTGGGGCTTGCGGCCAGCACACCAAAAAGAAAAACGGAAGCAGGAAACAACCAGCTGACATCAGCAAGCCAAGCTGCGAGCGCATCTGCTCCACCAAGTTTTCCTGAGCAGCAAGCATTCAGACTGACCTGGCCTGCCTGCTATGCAAAAACAAAATTGGCAAGACATGCAATGCGATACTTGCGAGTGATGCGCAGTTTTTTGGCCTCTAGGGCAACGCTCCGCGAGTTTTGTGCAGCCAGGCGCCTTCGTGCCAGCCTAGCTTCTGTACAAGCACAGCCTACAGAGCCTAGAGCCTACTAGTACGAGCTGCCTACCTAGGACCTACCTACCTAGGCGCAGCTACGGGCGAGGAGTGCTCTGGCCTTCCAGCTGGCTCCCGCCGCCAGGCAGCCCAAAAGCCTGCACTCTGTTCAGGGCGCAGAAGTAGCCGTCCCACCAGGACTCTGCAAGCTCCCAGCGGCGCTGCTCGACGGCTGTGTCAGTCCGTCGAGCAGCGCGGTCTGTCCAGGCTTGAGGTTTGCCACCCTTGCCGTTGCCAGCTGGTGGACCGGGCTGGGCAGCTCGGCGTTCTGCCCACTCCTGCCAGACCTGGTCGACGTGCACGTCGTCAGCGTACATGTGCACGTTACTGCGCAGCCCAGGGGCCGGCTGCGCAGGGTGGTAGGGACCCGATCCGGCAGGCCGCCAGGACTTGGGCTGCTCGCGGGCGCTGGGCTCACAGCTGGGCTCGCGAGGGCTTTCGGTTTTGCGAGGCGTCTCCTGAGGGGTGGTCTGCACTTCGGCATTCTGCGAGGCTGGCGCCAGGCCAGGAGGTGCAGGAGCCTTGCTGTCGACGTCCTGCTCGTGGTGCGTGTTGGGCTCGCACTCGCGCTCGTTGGGCTCGCCTTTGTTGCGGTCGTCCTTGCCGAAGTCGCCCTTGTTGCGGTCGCCCTTGCTGAGGTCGTCCTTGTTGAGGTCGCCCTTGCTGAGGTCGCCCTTCTGGTCGCCTTTCTGGTCGCCCTTGTGGCGGTCGCCCTTGCCAAGGTCGCCCTTGTTGAGGTCCTGCTTGTTGAGGTCGCCCTTGCGCGGGTCGTGGTCGCCCTTGTGGTCGCCCTTGTGGTCGCCCTTGTCGCCCTTAAGGTCGCCCTTGCGGTCGCCCTTCTGGTCGCCCTTCTGGTCGCCCTTGGGGTCGCCCTTGCGGTCGCCCTTGTCGCCCTTAAGGTCGCCTTTGCGGTCGCCCTTCTGGTCGCCCTTCTGGTCGCCCTTCTGGTCGCCCTTAAGGTCGCCCTTGCGGTCGCCCTTGTCGCCCTTCTGGTCGCCCTTGTTGAGGTCGCCCTTGTTGAGGTCACCCTTGGTGCCCTCGCCCTTGCCCTTGGCAGCAGCACCCGTTGCACCCTTGCCCTTGGCTGCTGCAGCCTTGGCGCCTTTGCTGGCTGCAGGCTCGCCCTCCTTCTTCCCAGGCTTGCCTTTGCCCCAGGACCGCCACGAGGCTTCCTCCTCGGAGCTGGACTCCTCGTAGTTTCCTCGAGGCCCCACAGCCGCCTTGGCCTTGGGGCGCAGCTCCATGTTGTTCCTGGGCTTCTTCGAGGTGGGCTCCATGGAGTGGTCCTCGATGACCCCAGGCATGCTGCAGGTCTGGCTTCCTACGTAGGCCTACACCCTAGATCCTAAATCCGTAGCCTATAGGATAGGAGAATGTGAGCCAAACAAACGGCATCGGTATGCAAAAACACAACTGTTGCGAGCGCACACGCACGTGCACATGTATGCATATACTGCACTGCACAGACCAACACCAATTGCGGGCAGGGCTCCCACTGGCCCGGCGCTTTCAAGTGCTTGCAGCCGAGGACATACCGCAGCGGCGAGAGCAGATCAGCCTGGGCAAGCTCTTCAAAGGACCTGACCTATCCTATCCTACATTAGGTCTAGCTATCCTAGATCCTACCTATAGGTCTAGGAGCATAGGTCTAGCCCTAGTAGGGATGGTAGGTAGGACCTACATAGGGCCCGCTGTCTCATCGTTGCGACCAAGCGTCATCGCCCAAATCGTTGCGCAGAAGTTCCATCTCAATCCACTGCAGGCCTGTGTCAGGAAGGTCCTGGGCGATGAACTCAAAGTCAGACAGCCGCCAGGTGAGCTCCACAGGCTCACGCGGACCAGGGAGAGCCACCTGCAGCGCGACTACATAGCTCCTAGTCCTACCACCTAACTCACGAGTACTAGCCCAAGCTGCAAAGTGCAGCTTCTAGCAACTACAAACCTACCTGCTACTATAGCGCCCGCTAGCCGCCAAGAGGCATCAGACCTCGATCGAAAATTTCGCGCTATAGCTTGCCCAAATCTCTGCGGGTACTGCCTGCGAGTCACATGATCCAATCCAAATCACATCTTCATATGCAGCTGAAGCACTGGGAACGCTTCAGCTGTTGCTTCTGTCCCACAAAGCGCTTTAAGCCAGCAGAGTCCACATAGCTTCGAGTGAGCTTCGCCGACGTGACGGCTTCCTTCTCGCGCTTTGAGAGGTAGCCGCCTTCCGCAACCAGCTGCCCTACAAAGTCCTGGTCATTGCTCCAGGCGCAATGGCGCTTGGCTGACTGGGCCCCGAAGACGCCCATCCACCAGTAACCCCGCCATACCTGATGGAAAGAAAACAATAGCGGAACAAACAGCAAAAAATGTAGCAGACAAAAGCGGCGCTATAGGTGATTGAAACTGGCTGCCTGGACGCGAGCAGAAAGCCACTCAAAGCATGGCATAGTTCCCAAGCACGACTGAGCTGGCTGCTCAAGAAGCCAGCGGGTTTGCTTGTAGGACATCAGCAGCAGGAGAATGCACACACGCGCAGCAAGCTTGTTGCCTGCGGCAACAAACTCAAAGCCAACATTTCCTCGAGGACAGCTGGCTGATCGGCCCGAAGTAGCCCGACTCCTTGACAAGGCGCGCCAACTTTGAATGCCACATTCAATCATAGGCCCTGACATTATCGTGAAGGAGTTGCAGCAAAGGGCAACTACAGCTGCAGCTCCAGGGCCCAAGGCTCGAACTGCTGCCATAGCAAGCCTGCAAGAAATTACTGGGCTCGCAATATGGCACAAATCGCAACATCACAAACTCAGCTCCGAGCACAAAACCTGAGGGCTGCAGCAAGTCCATGCAAAGCGGGTTTGCCACTATGTCGTGGCTTTCCCCGCGCAGGCCATCCTGATATGTACCGAAATCACAAGCTCATGACACATACGTGCTCGAGACTTGCGCGCTCCTGGCTCAAATGCCGCGAGACTTCACCAGCGCCAGCAAAGAGCTCCAAATACTGCAGCTGGTCCTGCGCTTGAAAAACAACGAAATCTGCAGAAGACTCACCATATATGTCCTGCTGCAGGTTGGGGATGTCCAAAAAACCCACCAGCACATAGAGCAGGATTACGCACTTCGGGGCGCGCCAAGCAAGCAAATCGCGAACAACCATCTGTAGAGACTGCCGCGCGTGGGCATGTCCTATAGCCTAAATGCTGCACACAGCCGCAACATTGCGACCAAGTTCGCACTATACGTCTAACAAGCTAGCAAATTAAGCAACGCATTTTCTGCTCCTAGGCAAACCTACGTCGCTTGATTTCGGCATGGGACAGCGAGGAAAGCAGCAGGGCTCGATCAGCTGAGAGGTTCCAGGCAGCTGATGCCTGTTTGAAGCTCGAACCTGCCTGCTTAGCTGCAAGGATGAAATCTTTGCGTTTCTGCGAAAACAGCCCAGCGCTGTACATGGCATCCTGCTCACTCGGAGGCTCGGGCTGCTTGGCAGGGCTGCTTGGGGGTGCATTTTGCGAGGCCTCCGCCCTGGCTTTCGCCTTGGCTTTCGCCTTGGCTTTTGCCTTGGCTTTTGCAGCTTGCTTGCGATTTTTTTCGGCGGCATTGCGAGGAAGGTCCTCGCTGTCGCTCCCCTGCTCGCTCTTGTAGTCCGCATTTTTCCACCTGTAGCGCGCGCTATAGCTCTAGCAAATTCCAGCACTCGCAAACAACGTATGTGGCTAAGGAGCTGGGTACTAGGGAGCAGCGGCTTGGC